AGAGTCCCCAACCAAGGAAATCCCATAAGCACAAAGATTCCCCTTTTCCTATAGGAACCCCAACTTTGACATTTGTCCCTTCCCAACCAATCCATCCAAGTTGGCCACCCTTGCCAACCTAGCTTGGTTGTTCCCAACCAATTTGCAGCTGTTACAGTAGAGTGAAAAATTTCCCCAACCCCAAAGGTCCCAAATCCATATTGAGTCACCCCACAACTTCACTTTGTAACCGCCGCAATTGTAACGCAAGCTCAAAACTTTGAATCTTCATAGCTTTCGCGTTCTTGTTCCGATTGAAGCGATTCTTATTGCATCGGAAAAATCTTCTCAAGATCTATCATCACAAATACCTGCTCAGACAGAATAACACAAAACACATTCCCAAACTCCAGAACACACACCACACAAATTCTTTCACACACGGTCAAACCATACATGCGAATTGAAACAAGGGATGGGAGGCAGACAGAATGTGATAGCAGATCATGACATCACACAACAATCTCCCCCTCTGGCTGCCAACCATCATCCACCATACCAACATCTCAAGCATGCATACTCAATGCACACTCATCCCAGCAAGCTTCATGCCCTTCCAATGATCCGCCTCTGCCAGACGCTTAGTGAAAACATCTGCTGCTTGCTGATGGGTCTTCACTATCTCCAGCCGCACCTCCTTATGAAGGAGTCTCCTCACCCAATGCCACTTAGGCCTTATGTGTTTTGTCAGCCCATAGAGATAAGCATTCTTGGCGAGCTTCACAGCAGACTCATTGTCACAAAACACAAATGTCGGCTCCTCCTGACCAACTCCCAACTCCTCCAACAAACGCCTCAGCCACACCACTTCCTTGACCCCATGGTGTAAGGCCATGTACTCAGTCTCACATGAGGACAATCCCACCTCATTCTACTTCTTGCTGCGCCAGCTTACAGCACCACCTCCTAGCAAGCACACATAACCCCCAATGCTGGTGCCATCCACTTTCACTGAGTTGAAGCTAGCGACAGTATAGCAACTCAAGAGCATCTCTCCACTCTTCACATCTGCAGCACCTCTCTGCAACCGCTGCCTCACTCCACTATACTCCATTCCCACTGATGCCGTAGCGCTCACATAGCGGACCAACCACTTGGCCGCTTCCAGCTGCTCATGACTAGGGCGTGAGACCACACTGGCCAACCGTGATGTAGCAAATGCAATGTCAGGCCGTGTATGATTTGCAGCATAATTCAGCGACCCAACCATCGAATGAAACAGCTTCCTAACACTCTCACCCACTACCTCCTCATCAGCACATGGCTCCACAGTAAACCCTGAAGGTAGTGGTGTTGCTGGCTTTCCCCCATCTTGCAGCCCATACTTCTCAGCCAGCCCCTCACAGTACTTCATCTGGTGCAACCTTAGCACACCTTTTTCCACATCTCTCTCCACATGCATTCCCAAGTAGTACTTCACCTCACCCATCTTGGAACACTTGAACTGCATCTCCAGCATCCGCTCTGCGCTGTCCAGCAAAGCAGTTGATGCAGAAAAGAGAAGGATATCATACACATACACACCGAGCATGAGGATTTCATCCTTCTCCTGCAGCAGGAACAGGCTGGGGTCACACTCACTCTTCTTGAAACCCCCAGCCAACAGCGCCTCCTCCAACTTGTGATACCATGCACGAGGCGCCTGCTTAAGGCCATAGATGGCCTTCTTCAGCCTGCACACCCTGCCGCTCCCATCATCCAGCCCCTCTGGCTGCTCCATGTACACCTCCTCTAGAATGATCCCATTCAGAAAGGCAGTCACAATGTCCATCTGCCATATCTTACATCCCAGGAGTGCAGCTATCGCCAACAGCACCCTCAGTGTTGTTCCTTTCCCCATAGGAGCAAACACCCCATCATAGTCCTTTCCCTTTGTCTGCTAAAACCCCCGTGCCACAAGCCTAGACTTGTAGCGGGTCAGCTCCCCTTCAGGTCCATACTTGTGCCTGTAGATCATCTTGGAAGTGATTGCCTCCTTCCCAGGAGGCAAGTCACATAGGTCCCATGTCTTGTTCTCAATCAGGGACGCGAACTCCTCATCCTCACTCGCCTTCCACTTCTCCCCATTTGGTCCATTCAAGGCCTCCTCTCGAGTCTTGGGCCCAGGGATTGGTGCCTCAATCTGCTCAACCACACTCCCAGCCAGCACCACATTCGGCTTGCCTCTTCCCCTATACTGTAGGTCAGCCTCACCGGAGGGCGCACATCCCTCCTAGGTCGCTCAGGCGGGTGTGGAACTCGAGATTGAAACTGCTGCTGCTGCTGCTGCTGCTGCTGCTGCTCCACTTCAGCTGCTCCCCCTTCCTCAGTCACCCCTGACATCTCCTCCTCAGACACTGCAACCTCCACCTGTCTTGAAGGCCGCTGCACCTCATCTGCCTCCACAATGAGCGGTGTAGATGGAAGCTTTTGTTGCTGCTGCTTCCATTCCTTGTAGTACAGGGATTCAAGGAAATTCACATCCCTTGACACAGTCAGCTTTCTGGGTGGTCAAGTCCTACAGCAACCACCCCTTGTGATCCTTCGCAATTCTCAAATGCACACCCCGTCTTCCAGAAGCCTCTAACTTCCCCCTTTTCTCCTTAGGCACATGAAACACCACCATGCACCCAAATGCCCTCAGCATGTTCACAGCTGGAGCACTCCCATACCACTTGGTATATGGGATCCACTCCTTATCCCCAACTGTAGCCAGCACCCTGTTCTTCACAAGGGCGACCTGCCTCAGTGCAGACACCCAAAACGGACCAGGCAGCCCTGCACGCCCAAGGAGAGAGCGTGCCCCCTCCTGCAGGGTCCTGTTGACCCTCTCAGCCACGCCATTCTGCTGTGGGGTGTAGGGCACTGTCAGTTGATGTTGGATCTGCTTCCTCTTCAACTCCCCCTCAAAATCAGCTCCAATGAACTCCCCACCATTATCATTGCGGATCACCTTCACCTTGTGTCCGCATTTCCTCTGAGCTATAGGCATCCACTCCTTAAGGACAGCTGCTGCCACCTCCCACTTTCTCTTGAGAGGGTAAACCCATACTGCTTGAGTGTGGTCATCCACAATTGTCAAGAAATAGCGGCTGCCTGAGAGGGAAGGGGCTCTTGTGGGCCCCACCACATCCATGTGCACAAGTGCAAGTGGGGTCTTGGCTGACCCTGTTGCACTATTGAAGGGGAACTTGGAGAACTTGGTCTCCAAGCATGTAGGGCAGCTCCCAATCTCCTTCGCTCTGCCCCTCACCTCCAAGCCCTTCAGGCTCCCATCCTTCTCTAACTTCTGCAACATAGGGAAGTTCACATGACACAGCCTCTCATGCCATGTCTCCCAATCAGCCTCTCCATTCCTTGATGAAGCCTTAGCCCATGCCGCACTCGCATCCACACCAGCAAGCACCTCACCATGTGTCTGCTGCTGCTGCACTTTCTTAACTACTTCCAGGACCCCATCAGTTGGTGCAGTTGCACCTCCTCCCGCAGTTGCCTTTGCCGCTGCTGCCGTTGCTGCTGTTGGAGTCTTCCCATTCCAAGGGATGATGGGCAGCTGCCACAAATCCTTGATGTAGCTGGTCTCCTCTTCCAGACTCCACAGCACCTTCTTCCCAAGCTTAGCACGGCAGCTGGTTGGTCCAAAGGTCACTTCGGCCTTGCTCTTCTGCAGTCGCCGCATAGAGAGAAGGTTAGCAAACAAACCATCAACCAGTAGAACATTCCCAAGCCCCACAAGCTCCCCATTAGCTCCCTTAACCTTGGCATTTCCAACACCAATCACAGGGAGCAAAGCACCTGACGCTGCTGCCACATACTTAATCTTCCCAGGGGGTTTTACCTCATCAAGTAAATCTGCCCGTGGGGTCATGTGACTGGTGCAACCTGAATCAATCACCCAGTGCGTGAGAGGGTGCATCACAACCTTTCCCACAGATCCCACATCACCTTCATGCCCATGCACATCCTCAACCATGAGAAACATCCCAGGATAGGCATAACCTTGTGCACCTTCACCTTGTGCACCTGAGCCTTGCACAGCGCCACCTTGTGCACGTTCACCACTTGGCGGCTTCATGCCTGGAGGTGCCCATCCCTCCGGCCTGCTGAAGCACTTGAACCAAGGATGCCCGACCTTCTTGCAGTACCAGCAGGTGCCCTCCATTCTGGTACTCCCCCTACCACCGGAGCTCCCATGCCCCTCATTATAGTCACCTCGGCATCTACCTCTGCCAAAGCTCCTCCCACGGCCTCAGCCTCTCCAAACCCCTCTTCCTCTGCCGCGCCCTGCACCTCCATACCCCTCAGCAGTCTTAGTGGAAGCACCACCTCCCACATGGCGTCTACGGAAGTCCTCTTGCAGAATTTGCTGCCTTAGCCACTCAGGTGTCCATTGATCTTGCTAAGAGTTGAGGGTGGGGATGAGGTTGTCCCAGGAGTTGTCCAACACCGACATGATCTTGGTGCACTGCTGCAGTTGAGATATACTGCTGCCCGCTGCTGCCATCCTTGCATAGGTGTCCTTGATCTTGTCAAGGACCGGCTTCACATCATCCCCTGGTCGCATGGAGATGGCAGCAAGTTCCTTCTCGAGCATGATCACCATCGGGAGAGTGTTGGGCTGAATCACATCGCGAAGTAGTTTCCACGCCCTTGGACCCGAATCATCTGCTTCCACAAGATCCTTGATGTGCTCGAACATCTCCTTGTTGACCGATTGAAGCATGAGGTCGAAAAGCACCGCGCTTTTCTCAATCCACCATTCACGTGCTTCGCCTTCTTCCGGCATCTTCTCCTCCCCAACAGCAATCTTCAGTAGCTTGTACCGTTTGAAGACACTCCTCATCCGTCCGCTCCATTCCTCATAGTTGGAGCCATCCAAAGCTTCAACTTTTGATGGCGGCGGCTCACTTGTCTTCTCAGGTACAGCTCCTCTTCCATTAGCATCTCCTCCTCTCTCATTCATCTTCTTCTTGAGAAATGACGAATTTCATCTCCCCTTTGCTGTCCACACTCAGCTCCCTCGATATTTTCACAAGTGTCGGCGTCCACGAAATTTCGGCAGAGTTTCCCCTTAGCGGAAGACACATCCAACCTTTAGAACACCACTTAGCCACACCCACAGGCCATGGTGGGTCTAGAAGGGTCTTCAAACTTCTGTAGACTCGTCTTAATGTCCTTAATATCGCTCTGATACCACTTGTTAGGATTAAGGACGGAGTCTAGGTGAACTTAGGAGCTAGAATTACTCAAAATATAAATCCGAAATTCTGGACAGAAAAATCGTCTTCATAAGAAACAATGTCGACAAAAATCTAGCTGTTGGAATGTCCCGCAAATCGAATATATTGTAGCTTGTAATCTTAGCTACTGTTCTCAATTTCAATCACATCGATTGATGGAGTACTCGCGACGCTATGTCTTTCGACGCACTAGGGGGTAAGCTGTAGGAGGAGAACTTACAGTAACTCAATCTCAAAAGTTCAATCAAAGTTCAAGAATCTCACAAGGAATTAGAGGAGCAAGAGAAAGGTTGGGATAGAAGAGAGGGATGAGAAGAAATTTCAGAAGAGAGTCCCCAACCAAGGAAATCCCATAAGCACAAAGATTCCCCTTTTCCTATAGGAACCCCAACTTTGACATTTGTCCCTTCCCAACCAATCCATCCAAGTTGGCCACCCTTGCCAACCTAGCTTGGTTGTTCCCAACCAATTTGCAGCTGTTACAGTAGAGTGAAAAATTTCCCCAACCCCAAAGGTCCCAAATCCATATTGATTCTCCCCACAACTTCACTTTGTAACCGCCGCAATTGTAACGCAAGCTCATAAACTTTGAATCTTCATAGCTTTCGCGTTCTTGTTCCGATTGAAGCGATTCTTATTGCATCGGAAAAATCTTCTCAAGATCTATCATCACAAATACCTGCTCAGATAGAATAACACAAAACACATTCCCAAACTCCAGAACACACACCACACAAATTCTTTCACACACGGTCAAACCATACATGCGAATTGAAACAAGGGATGGGAGGCAGACAGAATGTGATAGCATATGACGACATCACACAACAGAGGAGTCGCCCCTGCGGCTTAGGTGTCAGGGCCTGTCTCTGCCCCAGTTTCCCCTCCTCCGCCACCGCCGCAGCAGCCGACGTCGCGGCCATTACTGCCGCCGCAGTCGCCGTCGCCATTGCAGGCGTAGCCGCACTTGTTGCAGCTGCAGCCGCCGTCACCGCTGCCACAGCCGCAGCCGCCGCAGAGGTCCGCGAGCTCTAGGGGTGCGAGCGTTGAGGAGGGTGCTAGTCTTGGGGGAACTGTCGTGGCTTCTCCTAGCGGTCCTGGGGTTGGCACCAGTGCTGGAGAGGGTTCTCGTTCAGGGGGGGCCGTCGTGGAGTGTCTCGGAGGTAGCTGTGGTGCCACTGGAGGTTCTGGTGTTGGCATGGAGCAGCAGCAGCAGCAATCGCCGCTGGTGTTTGCCGTTTGCCTCCTTGGTCTTCCCTCCTCTGACCGCCCGCCTACGCCTCCCCCACCTGTCTACGGTCCTGTGTTTTCTCTGCCGGACTCGTCTCCATCTTGTTTTCCCTCTCGTTCTCCTCCTGTGTCTCCTCCTGTGTCTCCAGACCCCACGCCCCCGACCCAGTTCTGGTCTCGCCGTCCCTCTCGTGCTCGTCCTGTCTCTCCTGTCCAGTGCTCTCACCCTATGTTGCTTCATTCCCATGCGTCTCGTCCTCCCCTCCTCCTGTCGCCTCCTCCGTCCTCGATGGTTGTCGCTCCGCCTCCCTTGTCCAATTTCCTTCGTGCCGCTAGTCCTCTTGTTCCTCGGGTCCTCGCCTCTCTCGTTACCGACCCGTCCACTCCTGTCTCCTGTCTTGACGCTCTTGTCGCTACCGTTGCCGTCATTGCCTCTATCCGCCGCCTTGACAACGCCATCGCTCTGGTCTCTGACCCAGACGCTCTTGAAATCCCGAACCCCTGCACCTACGCTGAGGCGACCTCGGGACTCTGGACCTCTTAGTGGATAGCTGCCATGGGTACAGAGATGGCATCTTGGAGATCCACCGGCACCTACGTCAACGCAGTTCCCCCACCAAGGGTGAACGTAGGCGATGGCCATTGGCTCTTCAAGGTGAAGCGAACTCTTGGAGAGCCGCCGATGTTCAAGGCGCGCTACGTTGCTAGAGGCTTCAGTCAGCGCGAGGGGGTTGACTCCTTTCAGACCTTTGCCCCGACCTCGAAGATGACCACTCTTCGGGCGCTACTATACGTAGAAGCATAGTGTGACTACGAGCTGCGCTACCTCGACTTCTCTACAACGTTTCTCCAGGGCAGTCTGCACGAGCAGGTCTACCTGCGCCACCCGCCAGTCTTTACCGGCACCTTCGCCCCGAGGACCAAGTGGCTCCTCTGGCGCCTGTTTTACGGCCTGCAGCAGGTGCCTCAAGAGTGGTACGACACTCTTCGTGCTACGTAAGCTGACCTGCAGTTCTTCTTATCCGCTGCAGACCCGTCGCTCTTCGTTCGTTTAGGCTAGACCCCGCTCTACATCCTTGTCTACGTAGACGACCTGGTCTTCGCCACTGCAGACAAGGATGCGCTGGCCTTTGTGAAGGTCGAGCTGCTGAGGAGACACACCTGCACTGACCTAGGAGCACTGCGCTGCTACCTTGGCCTACAGATCTTCAGGGACAGAGCTACGCGCACCATCACTCTCACACAGTCACACTTGGTGCGCCAGGTCCTTCAGAGGTTCGGTCTTCACCTCTCCACATCCCACACCGCTGCCAACTCCAGTATCTGAGGAGTCAGTAGAGCCTAGTGATCCGTACGCAAAGCTGGTGGGTTGCCTTATGTACCTGATGACTTGCACTCATCCAGATCTCGCATACCCTCTCAGCATCCTGGCTCGCTTCATGGCGACAGGCAGACACCACCTGCAATATTGGTTGGCCGCAAAGAGGGGTTTGTGTTATCTAGCATGTGCATCGGGCATGGGGCTAGCGCTAGGAGGACACATGCCAGTGGTCCTTACAAGGCAAACAGACGTTTCGTGGGTAGACGACACTGAGACCCTTTAGTCCTCCCAGGGCTACTGCTTTAGCCTTGGTTCATGTGCCATCTCGTGGAGGTCCACTCGCTCGCCGTCTGTGGCCTAGTCTAGTTGTGAGGCTCAGATCTATGCTGATGCCATGGCGGCACAGGAGCTGCGCTGGCTGACTTTCTTGCTCACAGACTTAGGTAAGTGGCCTAGCCCTGCCCTTGTCCTGTACATTGACAACAATCCTGATCCTGCCCCGGTACAATGATCTTCCTATCTAGGACTGCACCTATCTAGCCAATAACATATCAATATATGTTTGACACACCCCCTAGGCTAGATGAGGGGCAATGCCTGGCAAGAGACACGCAGCTCAGGGTGGCACTACTACCCTGGTAGTGCCACCCTGAGCTGCGTGTCTCTTGCCAGGCATTGCCCCTCATCTAGCCTAGGGGGTGTGTCAAACATATATTGATATGTTATTGGCTAGATAGGTGCAGTCCTATAGAGAGTACAACCCCGGTACCAGGGCACCCTGATCTCAGGCAGTAGTGCCACCCTGAGCTGCGTGTCTCTTGCCAGGCATTGCCCCTCATCTAGCCTAGGGGGTGTGTCAAACATATATTGATATGTTATTGGCTAGATAGGTGCAGTCCTATAGAGAGTACAACCCCTTAGACAAAACTCCCTTGTACCCCTCATTCTATTTCAATCTGTTACTCTAAGATAAACACCACCTAGGATTGTAAATGCCAAGTAACGAGTGCACTGCACATAGGCATAAGTGCTGCAGTAGAGATTGATGGGGTGCACGATGACAGCGGAGCTGCTCGTGGCATGATGACAGTGGAGCTGCTCGTGGCACGATGACAATCTCTAAGTGTAACACCTAGCCTATAAACGGCACGCCCGAGACAGACACAATCCAAATACTATGCTTTTAGGATTGTGAGTGCCATGAAACGATTGCATATGTTGAAATGAACCACGTGTTAAGGGTGGCCAGGATCTAGAGTTGGTGGAACCACGAGTAGAAAGTCAGTGGAAGACTTTACACCTTGCATCAGAAATGTCGGAAATGACAAGGAAAAAAATAATACATGCATATTTATAGTCTAGGAAGTACCTTTTCGGATGTACCCATTTGTAGTGTATCATGACTATTCGCGTGACATGACTAGTGACTGTTCGTGTGACTGAGAGTGGTGTGACCCTTCGGGTGACTATACGCGCGAACCAACTGTTCACGCGTTGACTCACTACAGCTGACTTTATCACGCGCGTCCTTCCATGTGAGGTATCGCGCTACTAGTACAATCTAAGAGTTATATCAGGAATGCATAAGTAAACTCTATCGAGTATACTTCAACAGCATATGAGCATCAATGCAGCAGCAAGGATTGATGGGGTGCAAGATGACAGCGGAGCTGCCCCCGGCACGATGAAAATGTCTAACTGCAACAACGAGCACATAAGCAGCATGCCCGAAACAAACACAATCCACGCCAAATCACATTCAATTATGCATCCACACTCACTTATACGAATATCAAAAGCAGCAGGCATGACCAAAAGCTACACATGGGGAACCACTTATCAACCAGCATATCTCTCCAACCCCCTGGTCCACCCCATCCCACTCCTCCTTCCCTCCCCTCCCACCCCCTCTTCCCCGTTCCTTCCCACCCATCCTCTACACCCCTATATATTTGTAGAGCAAAATGCAGATTTCTTCAGTTGTGGTATGGTTTGCACCAAAGGGTAAGAACAGAAAGAGGAGCATGAGTTGACAATGTCGTAGCTTGCAAACCAGAACAGGCAATGATGAGAGACCAAAAAGGGAAGTGGCACTGAGAAATTAATGACTAACACAAATCAGTATATGCTTGCAACAAATGCACTTACATCTAAGTGGATTGGTAAGCTTGCTAGCTGAAAAAATCAAAAGAGCCCGGTCGAGAGAGGGCTGGCTGTGTAGCAAAGGATGAAAAGCAAGGTGCATAGTGGGGAGAGCACAAAACTAAACTGAAAGTGAAAGTTAGGGAATAGAGAAGGGAAGTCGACGAGGAGACACGGAAGGGCACCGAGGGTAGAATGAAAGGCTAGAGAGGGATAATAGGAAGTGCATGGCATGAACACCCCTGGCACAAAGGGGACGGCACCATCACAGAGAGAGGGGAGAGAGATGAGCCGACTCTCACCTGCAGTCGGTGGTATGCTCTCTCATAAACATGGCGTCAGTATGCAGCGCGCCAGCGTGAAACGCACCAGCGCGAAAGGCGCCTGCGCGCAAGGCACTAGCGCAAAACCCGCCAGCGCACAATGCACCAGCGTGCCAGGTGTCAGCGCAAAATGCGCCAGCGTGCAAGGCGCTGGCGCGAAACGTTCCAGCGCGCCAGGCGTTAGCGTGAAACGCACCAGCGTGAAATGTGCCAGCGCAAAACGCGCCAGCGTGCAAGGTGCCAGGGCGAAACATTCCAGCGCTCCAGGCGCCAGCACGAAACGCACCAGCGTTAAACGCGCAAGCATGCAAGGCACCAGTGCTAAATGCGCTAACGCGCAAGGCGCCTGTCACAAGATCGAATGTGTCGAGGAAATGTTGCACAATCGATTGATACAAGGTGCTTTTATACTTCCAAAGTACAGCAGGTAACCAGGTTTATCCTATCCCAAGGGAATAGACCCTTCTAGAAAATAGAATCACCCTGCGTATAGCCACGCGAGGCTATGGGCTTTAAGGGATTACGGCACGATTACGCTAGATATAGCGTACCAGTACATCCCGAGCTTGGTCTGTGATATAATGATAATAACAGGATAAACCAAAGGTTTATGGAAAAGAAGGAATAGGAATCCAAATGGAATGAGAGAAAGACCAAATGAATCAAGATAAAAAAGAAGAATGAAATGGAAAGGAGAAAGGAATGGAACGGGGTCGTACTCTCACACTTCCCCACCTCAAAGCTGGGTGGTAGACGTAACACCCTGCTTGACAAGGTAGTCGCGAAGAGGACGACGAGCGTGATCCATCTCGAAATCAGAGACCCAGCTATCCTCTGAAAGATCATAACCCTTCCAACGGATGAGAAGCTCCATGGTGCCATTCCGTCGACGGTGGTGAGCAAGCACGGACTCGACCTCGTACTCGGGTTCATCATGGACGAGGACGGGCAGCGGCGGCGGCGGTTGGCATCCAGAGAAGACCGTGTTGGGGTCTTGGTAGGGCTTCAAGAGTTGGACATGGAAGGCGTTGTGGATCTTCCAGGTAGCTGGCAGGCGTAAGCGGAAGGTAACAAGAGTGACATGTGCTTAAACGAGAAAAGGCCTACAGAAGTGAGGTCGCAGTTTGGATGGGAGATGGCTGATGTCAAGATTGCGTGTGTCGAGTAGTACACGGTCTCCCACGGTGATGCTGTGGTCTTTGCGGTGGCGATCGGCCTGGCGCTTCTGTTGCTCCTGGATGTCGAGAAGGCGCTTGTGGGTTCGATCCCGAAGTTTAAGCATGGTCGTGATGAAATCATGTGCGGGTTGGGTTGTGCGGGTTGAGGTATGAGTGGGTGGCGTCCGTAACAGAGGAAGAACGGCGTCTGTCTAGTAGTGGCGTGAGTAGCATTGTTGTAGGCAAACTCCAAGACGGGCAGATGCAAGTCCCATTTGGAGATGTCGTCCTTGCAGGCTGCGCGGAGGACTTGCTCTACAATTTGGTTGAGGCGCTCGGTCTGTCCATCTGTCTGCGGATGGTAGGCGGATGACATGGCGACTTTGGTCCCGAGTAGAGACATCAGTTCTTTCCAGAATTTACTGGTGAACTTAGGGTCTCGGTCGGAGATGAGTGTGGTCGGAATGCCATTTTATAAGATGATGTAGCGAACAAAGAGTTGTGCTGTCTCCTCGGTGAGTGCGGTGGTGTGTGTCGAGATGAAGTGTCCCATTTTGGAGTACTTGTTAATGACGACGAGGATCGCGTCATGACCGCTCGTGGTAGTTGGTAGCTCGGTGATGAAGTCTAGGCTGACCACTTGCCATGGCTGTTCTGGGACAGGAAGAGGCTGTAGCAGACCCGCCTTTTTCTGCTTGGTGCACTTCATCCGCTGACATGTACTGCACGATGTGACAAACTTCTGTACGTCATCTGCCATGTGGGACCAGTAGTAGTGTTTGGCAATACCGGTGAGCGTCTTATTGCTACCAAAGTGTCCCACGTACAGGACGTCGTGGTATTCTTCGAGTAGTAACTAGCGCAAAGGAGGGTAATTAGGTACCCAGATCTTCGTTGATCCTTTCCGTTACGCGATGTCGTTGTTCCACTGTAGCAGATGTCGCTTTTTTGCCAAGGGAATTTCGGAGTCGATGGTGTACCCGTATGTGAAGAGTCCTATGAGAAGTGGATTCACCCCTTCAACTTGGATAGCGGCAACGTGTGCAGGCCGGCTAAGCGCATCTGCTTTGTTTTTGTGGCCGGGCTTGTACACGATGTCATGGTGGACGTGCGTCTCGAGGAAGTCAATCCATCGGACCTGCCGCCTAGAGAGGATTGGTTGCGTCTCCAAATATTTTAGGCTGCAATGGTCGGTGTAGACTGTCGTCTTGCATCCTTCGAGATAGCATCTCCACGTTTTGAAGGCGAAGATGATAGCAAGGGCCTCTTTGTCGTGTATCAGGTAGTCGAGTTCTGCTCCATGTAATTTTTTGCTGAGGTAGGCAATTGGTTGCAGGCCATTCCCCTGGTCTTGCATCAAGACTGCACCCACTGCCTGGTCGCTGACGTCAGCTTCAATAACGTAGTCGCGTTCGGGGTCTGGCAAGATGAGTACGGGTGCGGACGGCTTGTTTCAGCTGCTCCACGGCTTCCTGGTGTTGTGGCTCCCATTTATAGGGCGTGTTCTTCTTTAGCAGATTTGTGAGTGGCGCGGCGATCTTCGCGTATTGTGGCACGAACCTATTGTAGTAGTTAGCAAAGCCATGGAACTGCTGTAACTCCTTCACGTTCTCGGGTGTCTTCCACGTACGCATGGCTTCGATTTTCTTGGGGTCGACGTGAAATCCTTGAGCGCTTACGATATGTTCGAGGAATTGGACTTTCTTGAGGGCGAAGTCGCTCTTGGATAGTTTGACGTAGAAGCGTTCGCATCGAAGAAAATCGAAGACGCGTCGTAGGCGCTCGACGTGTTGTTGCATGTCGCGCGAGTAGATGAGGATGTCGTCTAGGTACACCATCACGCATTCGTCCAAGAGTGGGCGTAGGATATGATTCATCTCAGCTTGGAACGTTGCAGGTGCGTTGGTGACTCCGAACGGCATTACCAGATACTCGTACGATCCATACCGAGTTCGGAAAGCAGTTTTGTGAATAGACTCGTCCGCCATTCTTATCTGCTAGTATCCGGACCGCAGATCTAGTTTTGAAAATACCGTAGCTCCCCGAAGCTGGTCAAGCAGGTCATCTATTCGTGGAATTGGGTATTTGTTCTTGATGGTCTGCTTGTTGAGAGCTCGGTAGTCGATGCACATGCACAGGCTTCTGTCCGGTTTCGGTGTGAAGAGTACTGGGGCACCATATGGCGAAGTAGATGGTCGGATGAGTCCTTTGGCGAGAAGATACTCGATCTGCTTCTTCATGTCGGCTAGTTCTGTGGGGCTTAGCCGATATGGTGCTTGGAAGGTCGGTTTCGAGCCTAGTTCCTCCACGCTCTCGTCTTGGTGCGTTCGGTATGGCGGTAGCTTGTCCGGGAGGTCGTCGGGAAGAATGTCTTGGAACTCCTTCAGTAAGTACTTGATTTTTTCTGGTGGTTCCGAGGCTTTCTCTCCGTCATTCTCCACCTCTGTTGCTATCGCTCGGAACCCGGTGTTGGTTCATTTCACGTCCTTCTTGAATCTGGCGAGTGTCTGCACTGGGGTTTCTCCTGTATTGTCCCAGTTGGGTTGCTGGACTCTCCTTCCTTTGTTGTAGATGCTTGCGGTGCCGTTTACCCGGTTGATCTCGGGGTTGAATTTCTTGAGGAAGTCTCGTCCGAAGATCGGGTCAAGCCCATTTATGTTGGTGATGGGGAGAGCAGGTTTCCAGCGCAGTGGACCGATTTGTAGGTTTAACACTGCTTCGCCGTACACTGGTAACTTTCTGCCGTCCACCATCGTTGCAGAAAATGCTGATGGCTTGTAGTCCTCTCGAAGTCGGTCGATGGTTGCCTTGTTGCATATGGTGTGCAATGCTCTGCTGTCCACGAGTGCTTGGAGGCGTCATCCTTTGCAGATGACCTCGAGCACGAGGGGCAGGCGTTGCTTGGAGTACTCAAAGATAGTTTCATTGATTGTGTCATAGGGTACATCCCAATATTCGTTCCTTCCTACTCCTGAGCTGGTAGCTGGCCGAGGCTGCTTGGAGAAAGGCTCTTCTCCAAGGCCCGGAGTTTCCGTGATGACTGTTCGTGTCGTTGACGAAGTTGCCGAGTTGGATGCATCCGAAGACGAAGGAGTTCGGGGTTTTTGCAGCTTCTTGTAGACCCCCAGCTTCCTCTTGAGCTACTTCAGCTCCACCGACGTCTTCCCTGGGGAACGGGTAGTCGCTATGGGCTGGTGTCGGGAGAGGACGTTGACTCCGTGGAAAGGCCAGCTTCTTTCCACACTCCTTAATTTGGTCCCCATGTTCTCCGGTACCAGAATGATCTCCAAAATTTTCTGCATCTTCTGGAGTCCCTCCCGAATTTTCTCCAAGGCTCTAGCCCCTCGAGAATTACAAGTTTTCATTAAAGCATCTTTGTAAGATAAGTTTAACGAATCCTTATAATTTTTTGCGTCTTCAAGGAGTTTCCTCGTCTTGGTAGAGTCCTTTTTCGCGGAGTTAGATTTTTCCTCGGCGATTTCCTCTGGCAAAGACTGGTCGTGAGGTGGAGATATTTCCCCATCATTTTCTCCTGTTCGCGTCGAATGAGTCCGCGGCCACTTTCGGATCTTTCCTTTTTTGCCAGCTAGATCCGCAATCACTGGCGAGTCCCGTTTTTTGGCTTCTTATTGGCCGAAGGGTTTCCGCCACTGTTGTGTGCCCGATACTCAGCGCGCATGGTTTTCATTCTGTTGCAGTCGAAGATTCGATGACCCGGCACCCCGCAAAAATCACACGTGTAGTTGGTGTTTTTCAGACGTGGCCGCCCTTCCAACCTGTCGACTTCCATCAGGTCGGCAAACGTGGGGTGAGCCGAGCGGTTGCCCTGTCGCATACTTCCGATGTGCATCCATCGTATCCCGGCGTTGACCATGTCGAAGCGTTCCGCGGCCGATACGACATCATTGTAGCTCGCGTTGTTTGTCGCTGCCACTTGTCGTTCGACTTCGGTCTTCAGCCCGGCGAGGTACGACTGTACTTTTTCCCCTTCGGTCAAGTCGGGAATGCGGTTATAAAATTCCTTTATCTGCTGCGTGTACTACGCTACACTCCCCAACTGTTGATGGCGATGAATTTTTTCCCGGTCAAGGAAACCCGAATTTATCGCCTCGAAACGTTTCAGCAGGTCGGTAAGGAACTGCTGCCACATGGCTTCGCCGTGGATGTGTTGGTGCAACCCTATGGCTTGCACTCGGCTTGTCGTCCTTGTTTGTGTGTGTGCATGAATGGCATGGAATGAATTGTGAGTCTATTTCATTGCTATCCAGTGCTTGTGTGTGTGTTTGAATGGTGTATCACAATGTGGTTTGTGTCGGTCAAGACGTTAGCGAGTTTTTACAACTCGCATGTCAAGTCGTCGTTTGTGTGTCGCATGTGTTTTTTCTATTTTATCGAGTGTGAAGTGTCCATCGCGTCGCAGGTGTGTGCAGCAAGCCCCCATCAACTCAAGAAGAATTTATCTTGCAGATCCAAGACCAAGAGCTCAAGATTTCAAGCCCAAGGGACGCGGATAAATATTAAATTGTGAAAATAGTAACGTTACTTCGTGTAGTGTTACATTTCACTTGGTGTAGCCCCTTGGAGGGTTGGTTTCGAGACTCTTCGTGGTTGGGGACTCTGTGGTGGTGTACCACCAATCAGGACCTCAGCTCTTGGGGTATGTAGAGGCTGGGAACCATCTCCCTCTCGAATTCTTGTTCCTAGGTTTTTTTTGGTACTCCTAAGACTATAGTGGCTGCTGTACCTCTTGCCAGTCAAACCGCCATAGCGTCGTCAAATCTTCACGGAATTTCATGATTCAACTTGCTGCTGATAGAGGACAGCACCGCACTTCATATCCAATTTGTAGATTACCATTTAAGTCAGCCAGCAGATCGTTATCAATATTTGAAGCCGTCTGTGCTCTCTATCTCTCATTATTGGCACATCTGAGCCTATTGTGACTATAACAAGTGGTATCAGAGCCCCTTGGAGCTGTCTCAACTATGCCTAGGCCTGAGGAAGGGGGTGGCAGAGGTGCTGGAGGCAGAGAAGCCGCCCAAGCACAAGGTCATTACCAAGATCCACCCGTTGCTCCGGTGCAACCTAGCCTTGGACCCTCTAGGGATGAGCCTAGAGTGTTTGGCCTTGACAAGCTCAACGGTGACAACTTTGCTGAGTGGTCCTTCAAGATGGAGAACATCTTTGACTACTATGATCTGCTGGAGGTGATGGAAGGAACGGAGAAGCACCCCGAGAACGACCTGGAGAAGAGCCCGTGGGTGCGGAAGAGCGCACAAGGCTACCTTTTACTTGGGCAAGCGTTGGGGAGCAGCCAAATCCGTCACATCAAGCCTTTTCAGCGTGAACCAGCAAAGGGACCAAAGGCATGGGCTGCTCTCAAGGGTGTACACGCTCCTGCAACAGCGGCGGTGGCTGTGGTTTTGGAGTGGCAAATGGCGGCACTTCGAATTGACGAAGGTGAACCGGTGGAGGAAGGAGTGCAGAAATTCTTCGACTTGTTGACACGGCTTGAAGGAGCTGACCTGAACTACAGTGACCTTCAAAAGAAGACCATGCTGCTGGCCTTACTTCCGGACTCATGGTCCTCGCTCATCATCAACCTAAATCGAGTTCTGCCCCGTCTCTCACTCGAAGATGTGAAGCGGGAAATTTTACAAGAAGATTTCCGCCGACGCGAATTGGCGGGTCCCGATGGTGCCGGAGTTGCAAGCATGGGCCGTGGGCACGGCCGTGGAAGGGGCAGAGGGCGAGCAGGAAGATTTGGCAGCAGTTACTTTAGTGGAGGACGCCGTAATGGAGGATATGGCAGCAACAACAACAACAATGGCTACGGGCGTGGGCGCGGTCGATTTGATGGTGAATGCCACTTTTGTCATAAGACCGGCCACATGTGGAGAGATTGCTTCAGATTGCCTGAAGGATGGACCCCTTCTCGAGGCCAAGAGGGCAGAGGAGCAAGGGGAGGAAGAGGCAGAGGTCGTGGAGGCCGTGGTGGCCATGGAGGTGAAGCGGCAAGCATGAAAGGTGGAGACTACGACAAGGACTCGAGTGAAGATCGATACCCGGGCCAATTCTTCTTTGTCTCCACGCAAGTGGCAGCTGCAGCAGGAGGTGTGGATGGCTTTGAGGAGCCAGCTACTGTGGGAAAGGTCACCCTTCACTCTCTGGAATTTTGGGTGATCGATAGCGGCGCCACCTATAGCATGACACCTCGTGCGGACTTGCTCACTGAACTCGAACCGTCGCCGGTCAAGCATGTTACATCGGCTTTGGGGCAGCGAGCAGAGGTGAAAGGCATGGGCAAGGCCATGTTCAAGGGTGCTGATGGGAATATGGTGGGCCTCAAGAACGTGCTTTGGGTGCCCAACCTAGCAGCCAACCTGATCTCTGTTCGGCGTTTGCAAAAGGCCGGCATGGACACATCTTCCAAGGGCTCCAAAACATGTACCACGAGGCTTGGTGAGCGGAAGCTTTGGGACCTTCATGAGGACAGGGACATCTACAATGAGATGTGGCAAATCCCAGTGGTCACCATGCCTAAGGGGAGGCAAGTGGCAGCAAGCGTCAGCACCAAGTGTGAAGCGGTTGGTGGCGGTGATCACGGAAAACAAAGAGACACCAAGAGTGACTCGAAGGAGTGCAACCTTGGAGAGACCAGCAAGGCGTGTGAACCCAAGGAGAGTGGTGCAGCAGCCAAAGGTGGTGGAAATGAGGAGGAGAAGCCTAAGATCAGCAAAGCAGCAGCGGCGAAGGAGAAAGGAGAGAGCTTGTGGGGCACAATTGCGAGTGCCGCTTTCTCCAACCCGACTTCCGCTACCGGAGAGTGTGATTGGCTGACCTTGCATCGGCGAATGGGGCATGTGGCATTGCCCATTTTGCAGCAGATAGTTAAGCAAGACATGGTCAATGGGATACGTGTCAAGGGGGAGCCCAATGAGGTGCTTGGCTGTCCAACATGCATGCAAGCCAAGTTCACCCGCTACCCGTTCCATAGCTCGGAGACAACGGCGAAGGCACCACTTGATGAGGTGGTGATGGATGTGGTGGGCCCCTTGAAGCTTGGAGCTGGTGGAGCTGAGTACTTCCTCACCATTGTGGACGTCTACACTCGCATGACTTGGGTGTATGTGCTGCCCAAGAAGAGTGACGTAGCTGAAACGGTGAAGACCGATTGGTTGCCGATGGTGGAGCGGCAACAAGACCGGCTTGTGAAGGCGATTCGCACTGATCGTGGGGGAGAGTTCCTGAGCAAGGAGTTCTCAACTTGGCTGAAGAAGCAGGGCATAAGGCACTCTCTTACCATGCCCTACTCTCCTGCAATGAACGGCATCGCCGAGCGTGCGAATCAGACACTCACGGCGACGGCTCGGGGACTTCTCATTGAAGCCGGTCTACCCAATTACTTTTGGCCGGATGCGGTGCGGCATGCTTGTGTGGCCAAGAACAGAGCCTTGACTCACGTGGGAGAAGACAAATGGGTGCCCTATGTGGAGTGGATTTGAAGGAAGCCGAAGGTGGATATGCTTCGGGTGTTCGGGTGCATGTGCATGGCACTTGTGCCTAAGAAACTTCGGCACAACAAGCTTGATGCCAAGGCAACATGGGCCGTGCACCTGGGCATGGCTCAAAACAGCAAGGGATGGCTTCTTTGGGACCCATTTACCAAGAAGTTCTTGGTGAGCAGAGATTGCAAGTTCGTGGAGAACTTACCGTACAAGGAATGGAAGGCGAAGAATCAAGCGAAGATTGGTGTGCGGCTTGGAGAGATGAAGAGTACCGGCTTGGAGCATGTGGAGCTGCCCTTGGAGCTGAGTAGCAGCAGCACAATCACGAGGCAATCTCTTCAAATAAATGGGGATGAGGAGGAGGAGGAGGTGCAGCAAGATGATGAGCGTGCATCGTCACTTCCGCCTCGTGCTACAAGTGATCGTGGGAACCGACCAGATTTACCGCAACGCCATGAGAGCATTCAAGTCCCTGCAGCAGAGGAGGAAGGAAGGGGGAGAAGGAGGACTCAGCCCTCTAATAGGTTGAGCTATGACCGGCTTGGAGGACCAGCCAACTCAACCTTGACCGGTTCGGCTCTCATGCTAGGCGATGATGCGGAAGATGAAAGCGAGGAGTGCGCCTTTGCCTTCTTTTCTCCGGTGGAGATGCCGGGGGAGCCTACAAATCCCAAGGAGGCTTGGGAGGGCCCCAATGGGAAGGAGTCGAAGAAGGCCTCAGATGAAGAAATGGGGAGCATCATAGAGAACGACACATTTGACTTGGTGAACCTACCTCCGGGGCGGAAGGCGATCTCTTCCAAGTGGCTCTTCAAGCGCAAGACCGATGCCGAGGGCAACATCGAGCGCTACAAGAGCAGACTTGTAGCCAAGGGGTATCAGCAGCGAGAGAAGAAGGAATACAATGAAGTGTATGCCCCTGTGGTGAAGGGTACAACCCTTCAAACCCTCTTCGCCGCGGCGGCCATCAAAGGATGGGTGGTGAAGCAAATGGATATCGTAACGGCCTTCCTCAACGGCGTTTTGGAGGAAGAGACCTTCATGGAGCAGCCAGAGGGGTACAATGATGGGAATGGCAGAGTGGGGAAGCTGAAGAAAGCACTCTATGACCTCAAGCAAGCCCCTAGGCAATGGTACATCAAGCTGCGGAAAGTCTTGGAGGCGATCGGCTTCACTCCCTCAACGGCCGATTAATCCTTGTTCATGCTTGGCGAGGGGGAGCAGAGGAGCTTCATGGTGGTTTATGTGGATGACATCCTCATATTCTCACCCTCCTCTGACCTTGTGAAGGATGTGATGCTGAAGCTTCAAGACAAGTTCAAGTGCAAGACCCTTGGTGACGTCAACTACTACCTTGGGCTTCACATTGAGCGAGATGTGGAGAAGCGGTGGATGCGAGTGCATCAAAAGAAGTACTTGGAGGCCTTGGCTGCAAACTTTGGGAAGAGCGAAGGTCATGTGGCTACTCCTCGTCCCTCAGGGTTTAAGTGTGTGAAAGGACCAGCGGAGGAAAGTGTTGGTGAAGAGGAGAGGCGGCATTTTCACTCCTTGGTGGGCAGCCTCATGTATGCGGCCGTTCGTACAAGGCCGGATGCAGCCTTTGCTACCGGGCAGCTGGCTAGGTTGTCCAATGCCCTAATGAAGAGCTGGTAGCAGCTGGAGAGAGGGTGGCCAAGTACCTTGGCCAAACAGCAACTCTTGGACTGCAATACTCCGCGGCGGCACAAAGGCTTCAAAAGGGTGCGGATGGAGTCGAACCCGGGAGGCTCTTTCTCACCGCCTTCTCTGATGCATCTTGGGCATCAGAACCAGAGGATATGACAAGTGTGGGAGGCTTCATCTGCTGTGTTGGTGGAGGACCAATAGCTTGGGAGAGCAAGAAACAAGTGGACCAAGCATTGAGCTCGGTGGAGTCCGAGTACATGGCACTCTTCCGTACCATAAGAGAGGTTGTATGGCAGTGGCGTTTGCTAGCTAAATTGGGGGAGGAGCAGCAAGGACCTACCCAACTCTACTGTGATAGCCAAGGTGTTATTGCATTGGCAAAGAACCCCGTTCTTCATGGCCTTACCAAGCACATGAAGGTGAAATGGCATTGGGTGAGGAGCATGGTAACCGGGGGTGAAGTGGAGTTGCACTACGTGAAGACGACGGCGCAGCCAGCTGATATGATGACCAAGAGGCTGGTTGAGCAGCAGCATTGGAAGTGTTGCAAGCTTGCTGGGATGGCTCTGAACTAAGGGGAGCAGATTATAAGGCCAACAATCCGAGGGGGAGTTTGTTGGTGCAACCCTATGGCTTGCACTCGGCTTGTCGTCCTTGTTTGTGTGTGTGCATGCATGGCATGGAATGAATTGTGAGTCTATGTCATTGGTATCCAGTGCTTGTGTGTGTTTTTGAATGGTGTATCACAATGTGGTTTGTGTCGGTCAAGACATTAGCGAGTTTTTACAACTCGCATGTCAAGTCGTCGTTTGTGTGTCGCATGTGTTTTTTCTATTTTGTCGAGTGTGAAGTGTCCATCGCGTCACAGGTGTGTGCAGCAAGCCCCTATAAACTCAAGAAGAATTTATCTTGCAGATCCAAGACCAAGAGCTCAAGATTTCAAGCCCAAGGGACGCGAATAAATATTAAATTGTGAAAATAGTAACGCTACTTCGTGTAGTGTTACATTTCACTTGGTGTAGCCCCTTGGAGGGTTGGTTTTGAGACTCTTCGTGGTTGGGGACTCTGTGGTGGTGTACCACCAATCAGGACCTCAGCTCTTGGGGTATGTAGAGTCTGGGAACCATCTCCCTCTCGAATTCTTCTTCCTAAGTTTTTTTTTGTGCTCCTAAGACTTTAGTGGCTGCTGTACCTCCTGCCAGTCAAACCGCCATAGCGTCGTGAAATCTTCATGGAATTTCATGATTCAACTTGCTGCTGATAGAGGACAGCACCGCGCTCCATATCCAGTTTACAAATCACCATTTAATTCAGTGAACAGATCGTTATCAATATTTGAAGCTGGCTGACGGAAATCCGACTGTGCTCTCTATCTCTCATTATTGGCACATCTGAGCCTATTGTGACTATAACAGGATGAAGGTGCTGTTACCGCTGATCCACTCGAGTGCCGGCCCTCGCATTAGTGTCGCCGTAAGTCGTACGCGTTGACCGTCCCAGACTGGCGAGCTCCATCCGACAGCTGCGAAATAGATCTCCATGCCGGCGATCCATCTGCGGACGTCGGAATTTCGATCGCTCGGATCGAACGGCCCAGGTGGGCGCTGTTTCGGAACCTTGAGAAACTGTTGTGACTGCTGCGTCGTCGCCGTTGTCGTTTCGTGTTGCGCGCCGGCGAGTCGAGTTACTCGCTCGAACTCTTGTCGCCAAGCTTCGCGGTCGGCTCGCGTCTCCTCCTGTAGGGCGGCGATGCGTGCGAAGAGCTACTGGGTAACTTCGGCGTTGTCGAAGTTTGCCATCCTGTTCAAAACACGCGCAAAGGGGGTATTTCGAAAAAAACGCGGAGCTGGTGCTTACCTGAATCGGCGTCGAATTGGTCGACCCGGGCGGTTTTTCGAGGCAGGATCTCCCGCTGCTGCTGCTTAGCTGAGCGCGGCCGAGTAAGAAAAGCTCTGATAACCAAGTGTCACAGAATCGAATGTGTCGAGGAAAGGTTGCACTATCGATTTATACAAGGTGCTTTTATACTTCCAAAGTACAGCAGGTAACCAGGTTTATCCTATCCCAAGGGAATAGACCCTTCTAGAAAATAGAATCACCTTGCGTATAGCCATGCAAGGCTATTGGTTTTAAGGGATTACGGCAGGATTATACTAGATACAGCGTACTAGTACATCCCGAGCCAGGTCGGTGATATAATGATAATAACAGGATAAACCAAAGGTTTATGGAAAAGAAGGAATAGGAATCCAAATGGAATGAGAGAAAGACCAAATGAATCTAGATAAAAAAGAGGAATGAAATGGAACGGAGAAAGGAATGGAACGGGGTCGTACTCTCACAGCGCCAGCCTGAAATGTGCCAGCGCATAACGCGCCAACGCACAAGGCGCCAGTGCGAAATGCGCCAACATGCAAGGCGCCAGCGCAAAACGCGCCAGCGCGCCAAGCGCTAGCACGAAACGAGATACGGGCTCTGCGCCAGCAACATGCAACCAGGAGTTACTAAATCGTAACCATAGTAAGTATCCGGTTGTCTTTGCCCATTCGGTAAGCTCCATCTTTCTTCTTTAAGAACAAGATTAATGCTGTGAATATATACTGCCTAGGGCAGATGGAAATCTTCCCAAATTTTTAGTTTAACTGCTTCTGCAACTCCTCTAATTAGGGCTGTGTAGCTCTGAATTT